GATATCACAGTATTTGCTAATCATTTATGTACCTCAGTTAATTTTGCGCACCCAGAAAATTTTTGCTGTAGTTGCAATACCACTTTTTTGAGTGTCTGATTACCCGATAGATTAAGATTGAATTTTGTTGCAATTTATTTTAATTTTCTGCATACATGCATTATTTTTACGCGTTACGTATGAATTATATTGACATTGTATTGACATTGAATTATGGGCAAGCAGATCTATTAATATATATTAATCAAGATCAACATTTAAATTCTACATTTCTGCAAATATAATCTTACTCGCAGGCTCAGATATTACCGTAGTATATCGATTATGCTCTACATACGCTGAAGTATGTAGAAATGTAGAATTTAAATGTTGATCTAACTGCATGGTCTTTTCGAGATCTGCTTGCCCATAATTCAATATATATCCCATAATTCAATATATTAATTTAATTTTCAGATCAACGAGTAGCCGATTTTCCTTTAATCCAATCTTCTTATCATGTACCACTTATAATATTGGCGTATCTGTATTTCGTACTCAGATGTGGGCCTCGATTTATAAAGAATAGGCAGCCATATTCACTGAAAACATTTATAAAGTTGTATAATATTATACAAATTGTGGCAAACGTTTGGTTGGTTTATAACTACATCGATGCCGGTGTGTTCAAAAGTTCAAATTTAGTGTGTACCGAAGATTTGTACCTTGATTTCTCCTACGATTATATTTCAATGAGGGTAATAACTTACATATAAAACATAGAAAAGAATATATATATCATTGACAGATGTCTATTTAAAGTCTAATCTTGAAAGAAATTCAGTACGCATTTGTCTGTATTAAATATAACTTTGTGTTATACACTACTAAAAAAAAAAAAAAGAAAAGAAAAGAAAAGAAATAGGGAACACTTTTCATACCCTAAACATTTGATTATTTTTGGAACTATTTTCGAAACAAAAAATTACAAAAGCATTTTGAAGCTTGAAGTTTTAACTTCAACACGCTATCAATAGTTTAAAAAAATTTTTTTATCTTTCTTATTCTGTGTTTTAAAAAAGAACATATTGTTTTGTTCCTTAAAATTATATGTTTTTAACACTCTGCAGCTCAATAACAAAATTTCTTGTAGGCGAAATGTTGTAGTTTATGGAAATTGAGTTGAATTTTTCGAGAGAAATTTTTTATCGAACTGCAGAGTGTCAAAAATACATAATTTTAAAGAAGAAAACAATGTGTTCTTTTTTAAAGCACAGAACAAGAAAGATAAACAAATTTTTTAAAACCACCGATAGCTTGTTAAAGTTGAAACTTCAAGCTTCAAAATGCTTTTTTAATTTTTTGTCTACGATGATTTTTTGTTTCAGCGGTTTGAAAATAGCTCAATTTTTAGGATATGAAAAGTATTCCCTATTTGTTTTGAGCAGTGTATTTTCGTTAAAATAAAACAACTTTCGATAACTCTTCGGCTAAGTTTTATTTGAAAAACAATAGCGCAAAAAAAAAAAGAAATGTTAATGGTATACATTTTTATATATCAAAGTATTCTTATTTTAATAAATGAATATGTATGTCAACACATATATTATATGTATATATAATGTCATAATTACGCTATTTATCACTTACTATACTCATATATATTCGTTTTGTAAAATAATATACAATGCAAAAAAATTTTTTTATCTTTCTTATTCTGTGTTTTAAAAAAGAACATATTGTTTTGTTCCTTAAAATTATATGTTTTTAACACTCTGCAGCTCAATAACAAAATTTCTTGTAGGCGAAATGTTGTAGTTTATGGAAATTGAGTTGAATTTTTCGAGAGAAATTTTTTATCGAACTGCAGAGTGTCAAAAATACATAATTTTAAAGAAGAAAACAATGTGTTCTTTTTTAAAGCACAGAACAAGAAAGATAAACAAATTTTTTAAAACCACCGATAGCTTGTTAAAGTTGAAACTTCAAGCTTCAAAATGCTTTTTTAATTTTTTGTCTACGATGATTTTTTGTTTCAGCGGTTTGAAAATAGCTCAATTTTTAGGATATGAAAAGTATTCCCTATTTGTTTTGAGCAGTGTATTTTCGTTAAAAAATAAAACAACTCGGTAAGTCTTCGGCTAAGTTTTATTTGAAAAACAATAGCGCAAAAAAAAAAAAAGAAATGTTAATGGTATACATTTTTATATATCAAAGTATTCTTATTTTAATAAATGAATATGTATGTCAACACATATATTATATGTATATATAATGTCATAATTACGCTATTTATCACTTACTATACTCATATATATTCGTTTTGTAAAATAATATACAATGCAAATTAATTAATACATCTAAATGTTATATTGCAGTTATGTAGAACTGCATGGTATAATTTTCTGTTGAAAATCGTGGATTACGTCGAAACAGCCATATTCGTATTAAGGAAGAAAAATAATCAGGTGTCTGGTTTACATTTATACCATCATATATCTACCTTGCTTTTCGCATGGGCTGGTACAAGATATTTCGCTGTTGCTCCCATACTATTCATTGGCGCGCTGAACAGTTTCATACATGCGATAATGTACACCTACTACTTCCTAGCAGCTTACGGGCCAAACGTTCAAAAGGCTATAGCACCTATGAAACAGTGGATAACTATAGCACAAATGGTAAATGCTGCCAATTTTTTCTGCACATTTTTTATGTGGAATAATCTGTCATTTCTATTCTCTTCAAATTACCTTTTTTACTCATGTTTAATTAATATTCATAATATATTATCCATAATATTATCCATAAATCTCAATACATGTATATTCGTATACTATATAAATATATATATTTTATATCTTTAAAAATCTCCCTAAAAACATCATCCACCAAAGTTAATGATATATTTGTAATGTTTTCTTTATATTGTAGGTGCAATTCGTCATACTGCTAATATATGCTTCGCAGAACTTTCTGCCAGGTTGCAAGGTAGTGAAGCATTGGTTGGCCATAATATATATCGGAAATTTAATGATAAATTTCTATCTGTTTTATAATTTCTATCAAAAGGCATACAATAAACCTAAGAGGAAAATCTAATAGATAGTGAGATATACGCAAATTTGAAAAGCATCGATTATTGTTTGTTTTTTCTTATTTCTATTGAACTTATTTTGAAACTCAGGTTTCTCTTAATAAAAATATAATGCGTTTTAATTTTATGCAGAGAATTTGTGTATAACATTTCTATAAATACACATTTTATTTTATGACAAATACTATTTCAAATCACGCATTCTCACAAACAGAATTGCTTCTAAGTACTTGGCTAATTAACTATTGATTTCATATTTAGTTTTTATTTCTTATATAAATTATTTTTTAGATATATACTTGGCGTATTTTTTTTACCTTTGTGAGGTTTTTTTTAGTAGGATTCTATTATTAAAAGATAAGCATTCCATATATATATAAATTTACAGAGCAAAAAAATATTTCCTTACTTTTTTTATTAAATTCTAGCAGTACTCTTTTTGATCTTTTTATTTCTTGAAGAATAGCTTTTTCATCTTATTTTGTCATCGAATATAAATAATATTATTTTAACTACTTATCTCTCAAAAACGAGATATTGACCGATAGCGGAAGTTCGTCGCCGGCGCGTCGACGGGAATGCGATCTCTGACCGCGAAACTAGAGGTCATTATCCCTTATCGTAAATAAGATCAATATTATCGACCCTGAGGAGACACGGTATAAGGAAACGTGACTCGCGTGGCCGATAGTTCCTATGGAAACGCGCGATCGAATCGTGACACCCATTCGCGTCGGCTTCTTCGGCGTCGTCCGGCCCGTGCCAGGTGAACCCGGGGCACTTGCATGATTCCTGCCGCAGTCTCACAAATATTGACATGCCGAGAAGCCGCGGTACCGTGTGAGTCTGAGGAAACTATTCGCGGAACTTTGCGCGACATCGGATTAATTTCGGATTATCTTCGATTATTATATTTTCAAGGAATTCGCGTTTTTTTTTTTTCGCAATTTTATTCAGGGCGATAAGAAATCTTGTAGGGTGTTGGTTAACAATAGAGAAACTGGGTTGTTAGGGTAATTTCCGATTAACGTAAAGAATCGATTTGTTCAAAATTTTCGACGGTGTACATTTGAAGAATTTAATGACCTTTAAGAAAGTAGATGATTGTGTTTGAAATATTGGAAGAAAATAAAAGAGTTTTCTGTGAAAGTTTCTTGTGATTGAATCTCGCATTGTCTTAATTTTGCGCGATGATATCCATAAAGATTGAGAAAATCGAAAAAGAATTATATATAAAAGATTGTTTCCTAAAATATTAAATTAAATTACAGAAATATAAAACGTTTAATAATAAAAATTTTTATGATAGAATCGAAATAGATCTTTTAACAATAGACTCGAACATTTTTATATAAAATTATGACGCGATAAAAACTGATATTGAACGTTCGAACTTTACATGGGAAAAACGAAAAAACTTCAGTAATAGATCTTTTTCAGATATAAAAGTGTTTACACACAATGCAGAATGATTTTACGCTAAAATATTAAAAATATGTGCAAGCGGTTTTTTAAAGACAATTTGGCGAACAAACATCAAGTGATACGAAATATATATAGTCCGGCTTGAAATTATATTGCTGATGGGAATTTCCGCTGACGATTGCTGATTCCAACATAGGTAGGCAATTGAAAATGGACAATTGTCATAGGTAAGGGTTTAGTTTAGAGTCTTGTTTTATCTCTTTCGATCGCGTTCATCGTTGTTTTCCCGCGGGAGTCGCGTACGATTATGATCGGGAGAACATCGCTGGTAGAACAAAAGAGACTTCAATGGGCAAGGGAAAGGGGTACGTATAAACTAACAACTGGTAATTTTAAGCAATTATAGCAAGTAGAATTTTTACAGAGCGTTATTAAGGTTTCTACGTCACCCAGTCGTAGCTCAAAAGACATTTCTTTATATTTTATATTATTATTACATTGTGTGCTCAATATATTATATATATTTAAACCTATAATAAACTACGTAAAAAAAATAATTGTATCTATAAAATTTTTCTTTTATCGATTCTATAGAAGAAATGGCTCGTCTCGCTGTTAATTGGGGACCTTTAAAACCAAGTAGTAACTACAATAACCGAACCCACATTCGGTAAGTTCATCAAAGCACTATTATATTATCATTACATATTGATTTTTTTAATTAAATATTAACTGTTTTATATAATATTAAAAAACGTTATTTAATCTCAATATATTCTTTTTAATTGTCTTTTAAACTCTCTTTTAATTTATTCATAAAATATATCATACTTTCTATTAGATAATTTAAAATTATTTAATTTATACGTGAGAAAGATTTAAAGTTCTTTTTCCGGTGAGATTTAAAACAAAAAATCCATGACACAGCACTTACTCAAATGACGTCAGATTGTCCTTGGAAGAAATTAAGGATAAGCCTTCCGCGCAACCCCTTCGTGCGACCGGACGTTATGGAAGCACTGTCAGTCTGAAGAGTCTGGTGACAGAAAATTCTGGAAATGGCAATAACAATCTCAAGTGTCTCGACTATAATGGCGGTAGTTTGATTAATCTCCGGGATCAGATGGACGTGTCGCAAATCAGACGCAGGAGTCCCAGTTTGCCTCCGATTTTCAACAAGGAGCAACAACAGTATTTTTGCCAGCTGGTAAGCAGTTTTTCACTTGATTAAATTATATTAAAAAAAAGATTCATACATATTAAGTAATAAATTAGGAAAATCACAGGGGGAATATATCAATAAAATAAATAAATTAAATATCTATGAATATATATCTTGGTAAAATAATCCTTTATCTTTATAAAAATAAAAGACAAATTTTTAAAATTTGTAGAAAAGGAGATTAATGTTTAATATATAATTACTTATTTATTAAAAATATGGAATAATATCTAGGGCAATTTTCTGGATATATTTTAAATCATATCGAAGTCTTCCATGGATAATTGCCGAGACAATTATGTTCCCATCTTTTATCGTGAAATTCCTTTTGGTATAAAATTGGAATCGATCGGACCATTAATAACTTTGCTACGTTCAATAGAGGTTTCGCTACGAATGAAAGGAACATTGCCCGTGTTATCGTCACTTGAATAATTGATTGCTTTCCGAAAGTTTACTTGTGTGTAGCAACAATGTCCCGTCGACATAGTCACATAACCGGCTAAAGTAATCAAATAATTAAGTATGTGTTATTTATACATCGAAAATATTGAAGGATAAAACGAGAATTTCTTTTTTATCCTATACATGTATTACGTACATAACATCCTTAGCTTATATAGTTTATAAAAAAACATTAATTTGCATCAAGACATTATTTAATTTCTTATTGCGAAATGCTAAGCAATTTCTATGATAGAAAATATAATATATACTTAAACAAGTGGAACGTGATTGCATCTTTACTTGGAAAGAAACGACTTTCATTCCAACTAACTCTCTAAATTCGACGATCCATTAAATTAACGATCACATCTAATCACGATTTCATAAATGGCAAGCAACACTCGATAGTACATTGCCCTTTCGCAAGGAAAAAGCAAAAGTAAGGCAGTCTGGTAAATCGATTCTTACAGTGCGATTAAAGTTCAACGACCTCAAGGCTATACACTTTGCTTTCAAACTTAAGAGTAGCAGACATTAAGTTCGTTCTTTCCATCCCTCAGTTAAAACCGTTCATGACGCAAAACATACAAATATCTATTTTATCGCGATTGTTGCGCTAAAACTGTTTGAACTAAATTATTCCAAAACTGAAAAAATCGACGTAGCAGTTTAATCCATTTTTTTTTTAAGAATTGAAAGAAATAATCTTTTAATGGAAAATTAATTTTTTAGATTAATTCCTTGATTTTTTAAAAAGGATGGACATTGAGCTCTTTTAATTATGTACAATACTAATTATTTTAATTTATCGATTGCAAACATCTCTCTATTTAATTATCAAGTTTCTACATAGAAATCGTGCATATGTGAGATAAATAAATAGATAAAAAATTAATTAATTATATGAATATTTATACAAATTTACAAATAATATTACTATGCAACCGCCTTGTATTTCGCTTTCATTATATTTGTAAACAGGCAAAAATAAGAAAGTAAAGTAAGAAAAAAACTAGAATAAATAAATAGATAAAAAATTAATTAATTCTATGAATATTTATACAAATCTACAAATAATATTACTATGCACCCGCTTTATATTTCGCTTTCATTATATTTGTAAACAGGCAAAAATAAGAAAGTATTAAAGTAAAAAGAAAAACTAGATCGTGCATGATTTATGTAGCGTATACAGACGTCTCCGGCAGACACGATAGTAATATTCCAGCCGCAATATACATACCTATATAGAACACGAAAGAACATAATTCTTCCTTTCACAAGCCACGAAAGCCGGAACCTTCGTACTCGATCACGCGAGCACGCGTCCCTTCTGTTTCTCGAGGGCGTTCTATCTAACTTTACCGTCTCGTATTACAGGAACAACAGCGTGATTTCGGTGTAGAGGGATCGCGATACCAGTCGCAGAGATCGCAGAAACTGGAACACCATCACCATCGGTCCAACGATCATCGCGAGGCCCATAAAGAGCCTCGTCATTACGGTTCACCGGGCGAGGAACGCGAAGGCGAAACTTCTGGTTATGCCAGTGATTCAATCGACGTACCTCAGGCAAGGCAAAGTGAGTTCTTTTGAATTTTAATACCTAATTATAAAATTATATGAATGTCAAAAGAGATATATCATTATTAATAAAATTTTTAAAAATCTTTTTGTAATTTTTATGTATATGTATATATATGTGTGTGTGAGAGAGAGAAAGAGAGAGAGAGAAATATTAAAATGAATATAAATAAATATAGTAAAATTTCTGGATAGTATTAATTTTGACATCTTACACACATATGTGTGTATGTATGTTTCAATTAGTTATAATTTCTTTGTCAATAAAGAGTTTTTATATTTTTTTTCAACTCAAGGAGTACTAGCTGATAGTAAAGCAGCGGCCAGAATGGAAATGACGGAAAAAACCTGGCAGAATCCTTATTGCACCACCCCAGAAAGTTCATTGCCACCCTCGAGGAGGCTCTCACCCGGTAGACTGGGAGAATTAAACAGGCCAAGGTGGGGCAGCGTCTGGGGTCAAGACGGAAGAAGCGATCCGCCGCCGCCCTCTTGGCTATCAAGATTAGGACAATCGAGTCAAGTAATGTCTACTGACAACTTGTTGAACACCTTTGAAACTCTAAATCACTCAAGAGGATTTGAGTCTACTTCAATTTTTATACTCTATCTTAAAAACAAACACAACATATACATAGTGTCATATGCTATTAGCATTATGACAGTTTGACATTTTCCCTTCTTGATGTATTGCGAGAAAATTTAAATTGCTTATCTACCTATCTCTCTGTGATCAAGGTTTTAGTGATCAATCATGATAGCGCTAGCAGTCCGGACAGTTCGACAACTGGTTCGACCAGCTCCGACACCAACAAAGTATCTTATCTTCGGGGTCAAAATATCCCAGTGGACGCGGACATTCTTCAAGAACGTGAAGCGAGACGGCAGAAAGCGTTGGAATTGCAAAATGCTATCAAACAGCAACTTGAGGAGAAGGACAGGCAGAGGAAAGAGGAGAAGGAGCGACGGATGAAAGAAGAAAGATTGGAAGATGAACGAATTCGACAAGAAAGAGAAAAAGAAAGGGAAAGGTAAAATAAATAAATGTAAAACAAAAATTTTAAAAATATAAATTAATTTAGTTAAAAAATTGTAATAGTATAATTAATTTAACTAAGAAATATGTAAAAATTCAGTATATATAAATATTTGCGTCATAAAATATTACAAGTTTTTACTATATATATATAATATAATTCTTCTTATATTTTTATAATAAAATAATAATACCTTTTCTTCAAGAGAAACACCATATTTCTTTTAAGAATAATTTTCTCTAAATAAAATTATAAAATCACATTCGATGAATTCAATTCACTGTATAGATTGGAAGAAGAACAACGGATATTGCGCGAGAAGGAAGCGGCAAAGCTGAAGAAGGCGCAGGCGATGCGCGAGGTACTGGAGGCTGCGGAACGGCTGGCCAAAGAAGAGCGGAAGAATCGGCGGAAACGAGATGGGCACACCAACGAGGACACTGACGTGATGACGCAGTCTTCCAACGAGTCAAACGCGGCCATCGGCGTGGATACATGCGAGGAAGAAAATTGTTCGCAAGCACAAAAGCAAAGCACAAACTTGACCACCGATTATCCCGTGAAGAAATGCAAAAGTCCGAAGGACGTCAAGGAGGCTGACAACTATCGCGAAAGCGAGAATGACAAAGATTCTCCGAAGGGCTATTCGCAACCAAATTACGCGGACAAGTCGGAGGAGGCTATGCTGGATCCGAATCCAATGTCTCTTCAGGTTCCTGTGAGCAAGGACGTGGCGATTGTGCTGAGCGGCAGGCTGGAGGATCCGGAGATCCTGAGCAGGGCGAATTTGCAATTGGTGAATCTGGTGATGACGCCGAGTCCGCGTAGATTCGCGGAGAACACCGCGGAGTATTTCTCGCTGGGCCTCAACACGATCAAGAGGAACAATGAAAGTCCTAGGAATCTGAGGAAATCCTCGAGGGATAGCGCCTCGTCGGCCCTCGTGGAGAACAGGCTGTTGACGCCCAGTAAATATAGAATGATGGCCGGCCGGGACTTTGGCACGCAAACAGACGTAGAGTCCGATATCCAGGAACTGCGGGAGAAGCTGCAGAATCAATCGATCAGGGATCAAGATACTGAAGGGACAAAGGACAGGAAGGATACGACGAATGCCAGTCGAAGAAACGTTGAAAAGTGAGTCGCCATATCGCGATCTCGATGTCGCACTTGTCGGGGTTCTTAGCCAAACGACGACTATTATATTCTCTCCTGCATGCAGTAGTACCTGCCGGTAATTATCGTTTTTTTTTTATTTCATAGCATACATAATTAGATGATAAGCTTGATGATCATAAGACGCTTTGTCGCGAAATGTCTGTCGATCCGCGCGAGGAAAGCACCCAGTAAGTGGAATGTTCTTAATCATTTTCTAAGAAAATAGAAAGCGTACTTATATCTTTCTTCATCTGTGACATTATTTACGATATTATTTTTTGTTGAGGAGTTTATTCATTAAAGTTTGCTGCTTGAAATCTGAATGCATCCGCTAAACTTGGCAAAAGCATGAATCTATTATCATCTTGCCTCTGGCATAAAATTGCTTTAAAAAAATGTGTTACTAAAAATTGTGCCATGTCATTAATGTACGATTTTAATCGTTCATTCAAGGTCGATCAATGTGAGTCCAGGCGATGAAATTTCCATAAAAACACTTTCGCGATCCAAATCGCAACCTAGAACCACGCTCGATAGCAGACCGCGATGGAACGCTAATCGGTAATATGAAAAATATTATAATAATATTTAAACATACTTTTTAATCAATCGTGAATATAAAAAATAATTAAAAACACTCTTAGCCCAGGTACACGATATCGAACGCAAAGTGAGAAAGACCCGCACTATCAGAGAAAATTAAGATTAAGAAGGCGACAAGTCGAGTCTAGCGACGAAGGATCTAGGTAAGAAATTTTAAAAAGTATAACAAAAATTATAAACTTAAATAATTATTCAACAAAATAAAAATTAAAACATGCAATTTTAAATTATAAAATTTTAATTACAAAAGATAAAGGACTATTGATATTGAAATTACATCGCTGCAAATAAATGAAATTAATAAATAAAGTAGCATAACTTTTTGTATAATACAAGAAAAAAGCTTTTGGGGATAAAATTTTTTTAAATCAATTGTAATATTGTGTTATTTATCAAAACTTCATTCTGAGACGAGATTAATTTGTATCAGATCGCCATCTCCCGATCGGCGAAAATCGAATAACGGAAAATCGAAGAATCGGAACATTATCAGGCGTAAAGCGAAACTCGAGAATTACGACGCCGATCTATCGATGGACAGCCTGAATTCCATTGTGCCTCTACGAATCGACAAAAATGGGAAGATCAATATTGAGGATCGTGCTGAAAAAAAGATGCGATCGGACAACGCTTCTTGCAATACGAACCGTGCAGAACGATCGGACAACGATAATTCCAATGTCTGGTGCGGTCAAGAGATCTTATCCAAGCTGTCATCATTGAGAAGCGTACGCAATCAAATGATATTATCACAAAGCTATTAAAAATAACTGTTTTAAATATAATATTATGCTAAGAAATAAATGTTACAAAATATCTCTCGATGTTACGTTTACTTCATTATTATTTCTACATCAATTAATTCCATATCAAAAATATCGTAAAATTTTAGGGAAAGCTTGTCGTCAATTCTTGAAAATTGACAGATATTTAGTAGAGTTTTAGAGTTTTCTTCAAAATATATGTTTATATATATTTTTTTTTTTTTTCCCAGGGACTTTTGATGAAGCAAATCGAGTGGGATTCCGAGCGATGTCTGGTCTCACCCGCTGCGTCCGAAGTCTTTTAAATGCCCGCAGAATTTCGTTGTTTCCTTTCGTTTTTTTTTTTTCGTTTGCATAGAAAGTGAGATCGAGTAGAATGCAAAAGGGGTTTTGAGAAATACGTTGTTTGTTTCTTCAAGCAAACAACGCGAGGTATTCAAACGCCTTTCTCGCATTGCAGATTTAGATAATGGCCTTTCAACTGGACGATCTGTTGAAGGACGATAAGAAGGATGCGAATTTGATACCTGATTTGAGCAAGTCGACCTGTAATTCTTACGAAGAGTTCCGGCGACTCAAGGAACACTGTCCGGAGTTTAAGATCAAACCGGAAAAGGTCCGGCTCTTCTAATAACAATATATTATAGGATAAAAAAATTGAATTATATGAATATAGAAAATTTCTGAAAAATCTCATGCCCTATATATAATGTCCTTATGTAATAATTATACAATTATATTGAGATAAAAATGAAAAACCTTATTATTATATTGCGGGATTTAGTATGGAAATATTAGAACGCACTTGATAGTAATTAGAGAAAATTACACAAAGGTAAAAAGAGAAGACATCAAGGTCCGCGACAAAGATTTTTCTTGGAAAGCGACCAAGAAAGAGCTCAAAGCCATCGGCAGGGAATGGGCTTATGGCGATCCAGTTCCACCTGATATGAGAGAATTGGATCTACAAGAGCTGCAACAAGTCGCCATCGATTGGCGAATGCTGACTCCCATCAGACCAAAGCTTCGTCAGGACGAAGAAATGTTTTCGAGATTGGTGAGGACCATAATACCATTCGATTAAAGATATTCCTAAAATGTAACTACTTAAAAAAATGTAATTATTATTATACAATTTTCTTTGTTTATTCTAATTCTGAAATTTTATTCGCGCGAAAATAAAATGCGGTTTTTTTTTCTTAATTTTCTGATAAATCCTATGTTACAAGGTGGAGATGGGCAAATTAGAGGCGAAGACCATAATGAAAGAACGTCGTTCGCCAACAAGTCCTATTAGACGAAGTAAGAATCGCGCGGGGATAATCGAAAGCAGCGTAAAAACCTGCAGAGAATGCGGCGAGGAATATTGTTTCGGCGAATTTTGCGGAGATGTCCTCTACGACTCCTTCGTAAGGGTGGCCGTTGCCATCAAGCAGCCAAAGATTAAAATATCCGCGGACACCGAGGCGATAATCGCCAACATGGAACGTAAGAAAAAAAAGAAAAAGAAGAAAGGGAAAAAGCGGGTCAAGAACAAGAACAAATCGTCTAGAAAGTCCGCCAGATTGTTGGTCAATGGTAAAGCGAGAAGATCGATAACGGATCTTGAAATTAAAATTGTTAAAACGAAAGATAATCGAGAACAAAATGAGAAACCGGTGAAACAGTTTAAGAGAAAATGTAGCAAGTATACAAAGAAAGGCCTTTTACGCAAATAACGCAAATATATAAAGTTATAATATTAATGAAAAAATTTGGAAATCTGTAAAAATTTCTTGCACGTGCTCTAAAAATACCTCATACATCCATTTGTATATGTAGATTATTCTTATTATATAAGAAGCTTTTCGATAAATATTTAAAACATATTAATAATTTATAAAAAATATGATCTAAAAATATTTTAATCAAGTAAAACGGTAATTATACATGCGGCACCTAAATTTTTGGTGTAATCTACTTATTAAGAAAATATTTGAATAAGATATTATAAATAAGTAGATAAGAAGCGCATATATATATGAGAATATATAATTAACTAGAATTAGAATATTACAAAATACGCGCCATTGAAAAATTAAACAAATGAGAATACGATTGCTCGATAAATAAAAGGAAGAACCAACTCGAAATGTTTTGCATTTTACTATTTGTCTGTGTATTCTATGATTCCTCGATATAGGTATATACAAATCGGATAGGCGCAATGTGTGTATGTGAATGCTCCCAATTAAATGCTGGAAAAATATAACTTTTATTCACTTTGTGTCTTTCTTTTCTCTCTCTTTCTCTGTCTTTCGTTACTTTGTCTTAAGACACATTCCATAATTCTCACACATTTTTCCATAGATATCACAACCAAAAAGCGTACCCTCACGAGAAATGTTCCGTTCGTCGAGCGAGACAAGTGCAAAAAATATATATTTATGTATATATATAATATATCTCTTGCATTGCACAAATATATAGAAATATTTAGATTATATATATATCATAATTTCAAGAATATGAACGCATAATCGTAATTACTCGATTCACGTGAGCAGAATATTTCTCATCAATTTTATATCTTTCCCATTGAGTTTGAACGCATACGTTTTATTTGTCATATTTTCCCGGTTTGCGTTAATACGCTCACATAATGATAAGATTTAAGTCAATCGAAACATACGCATTTTGCACGAAATATATATGTATATTCTGCACAAACACACACGCACAAACACACACATACAGTGAATTTAATATTAATTTGTCACATGTGTTATGATTGCAACAATCGATGAATAAAATAAATTATATATGTGTAACTTTATATATATATTCGACATTGTCGTGTCGCGCTTTTGTTTATCTATCTCTTTTCCTTATCTTATCTCTATGTTGCAGTCGATATTTCGAATGCGATCAGTCCTCGTATGTGCCGTGCAATGATAAATTATAATTACATCGAATCACGCGACTAAAATAGGCCATCGTAATCGCGCCATATCGTCGTTATATTTCGATGGAAGAATCGGAAATATATATTTTCAAAATGCAACATATAAACTCTGTGTCCCTGATACGAGGACATACATCATTATTAATTAAATTTATGGAAAGTGTACAACACGCTATGGATTTGTAATCGAAGTATGCTGTATTATTGGTGCATATAGGTCATTTTTAAAAATAAAAAAAAATTCAAATCTGAGAATCTCTTTTTACAAAACAAATACGGTGTGTTTCATAGTGTTTTTCTTGCCTAACTATTTTTGAAATGGATAGCTCGTGTGTAATTCGTTTTGGACGCTGATTAATTCTTCGAAAATATCCTTAAAATCTGATCGCTGGATCTCCATCGCTGCAGAGACTGTCCCGATGGACTGTGTTAACGCAACATTGCACATATACATTTAGTAAGGAGAGAACATTACTCGTGTATTAATATACATATGTACAATGACAATATAATACTTTTCCGATTTTATAGTCGACTCGTGTCTCGCTTCTAATTTTTTCGTCCCTATACTTTGTTGATTTTTGTTTGAAAATCTTCTTGAAAATACTAGACATATGAGAAAAAATATTCTCCTCCATCTCTCCCCGTTCGAGCTTTCAGCAGAGCATTTGACATCCGACATATCAAATATGTATTGAAGCATGATATTCGAAATACACATATTCGGCTTCATATTTCGCCACGATAAACTATATACTCGTTCTCGCGAATGCCATGTAGCGATGTAATGATTTTGGGAATAGTATTTAGAAAAATAGTATTAATTTCTTTGTGCGTCCTTGTCAGTGTGATTCATTAGCCACTTTTCATTTTCCTTTTCGCACGATTGTTAAGTTCTCCGTTCTAATTAGCCAGTTAAACTAACGATTGCATCATTATACAAACAGTATCGACATTTAAAACTTCGCGAATTTATTACTTTTGGAAAATTTGGAAAGCATTATTTAAGCTGTTATCTTATAATGGCATTCCTCGGTGATAATTTAACTCACCACTGTCCGTAACATCTCCATCTACCTATCGCTTCAGCTCTTTGCAACACACGAAATCACGTACATATAAAGTAGCATAACTTTTTGTATAATACAAGAAAAAAGCTTTTGGGGATAAAATTTTTTTAAATCAATTGTAATATTGTGTTATTTATCAAAACTTCATTCTGAGACGAGATTAATTTGTATCAGATCGCCATCTCCCGATCGGCGAAAATCGAATAACGGAAAATCGAAGAATCGGAACATTATCAGGCGTAAAGCGAAACTCGAGAATTACGACGCCGATCTATCGATGGACAGCCTGAATTCCATTGTGCCTCTACGAATCGACAAAAATGGGAAGATCAATATTGAGGATCGTGCTGAAAAAAAGATGCGATCGGACAACGCTTCTTGCAATACGAACCGTGCAGAACGATCGGACAACGATAATTCCAATGTCTGGTGCGGTCAAGAGATCTTATCCAAGCTGTCATCATTGAGAAGCGTACGCAATCAAATGATATTATCACAAAGCTATTAAAAATAACTGTTTTAAATATAATATTATGCTAAGAAATAAATGTTACAAAATATCTCTCGATGTTACGTTTACTTCATTATTATTTCTACATCAATTAATTCCATATCAAAAATATCGTAAAATTTTAGGGAAAGCTTGTCGTCAATTCTTGAAAATTGACAGATATTTAGTAGAGTTTTAGAGTTTTCTTCAAAATATATGTTTATATATATTTTTTTTTTTTTTCCCAGGGACTTTTGATGAAGCAAATCGAGTGGGATTCCGAGCGATGTCTGGTCTCACCCGCTGCGTCCGAAGTCTTTTAAATGCCCGCAGAATTTCGTTGTTTCCTTTCGTTTTTTTTTTTCGTTTGCATAGAAAGTGAGATCGAGTAGAATGCAAAAGGGGTTTTGAGAAATACGTTGTTTGTTTCTTCAAGCAAACAACGCGAGGTATTCAAACGCCTTTCTCGCATTGCAGATTTAGATAATGGCCTTTCAACTGGACGATCTGTTGAAGGACGATAAGAAGGATGCGAATTTGATACCTGATTTGAGCAAGTCGACCTGTAATTCTTACGAAGAGTTCCGGCGACTCAAGGAACACTGTCCGGAGTTTAAGATCAAACCGGAAAAGGTCCGGCTCTTCTAATAACAATATATTATAGGATAAAAAAATTGAATTATATGAATATAGAAAATTTCTGAAAAATCTCATGCCCTATATATAATGTCCTTATGTAATAATTATACAATTATATTGAGATAAAAATGAAAAACCTTATTATTATATTGCGGGATTTAGTATGGAAATATTAGAACGCACTTGATAGTAATTAGAGAAAATTACACAAAGGTAAAAAGAGAAGACATCAAGGTCCGCGACAAAGATTTTTCTTGGAAAGCGACCAAGAAAGAGCTCAAAGCCATCGGCAGGGAATGGGCTTATGGCGATCCAGTTCCACCTGATATGAGAGAATTGGATCTACAAGAGCTGCAACAAGTCGCCATCGATTGGCGAATGCTGACTCCCATCAGACCAAAGCTTCGTCAGGACGAAGAAATGTTTTCGAGATTGGTGAGGACCATAATACCATTCGATTAAAGATATTCCTAAAATGTAACTACTTAAAAAAATGTAATTATTATTATACAATTTTCTTTGTTTATTCTAATTCTGAAATTTTATTCGCGCGAAAATAAAATGCGGTTTTTTTTTCTTAATTTTCTGATAAATCCTATGTTACAAGGTGGAGATGGGCAAATTAGAGGCGAAGACCATAATGAAAGAACGTCGTTCGCCAACAAGTCCTATTAGACGAAGTAAGAATCGCGCGGGGATAATCGAAAGCAGCGTAAAAACCTGCAGAGAATGCGGCGAGGAATATTGTTTCGGCGAATTTTGCGGAGATGTCCTCTACGACTCCTTCGTAAGGGTGGCCGTTGCCATCAAGCAGCCAAAGATTAAAATATCCGCGGACACCGAGGCGATAATCGCCAACATGGAACGTAAGAAAAAAAAGAAAAAGAAGAAAGGGAAAAAGCGGGTCAAGAACAAGAACAAATCGTCTAGAAAGTCCGCCAGATTGTTGGTCAATGGTAAAGCGAGAAGATCGATAACGGATCTTGAAATTAAAATTGTTAAAACGAAAGATAATCGAGAACAAAATGAGAAACCGGTGAAACAGTTTAAGAGAAAATGTAGCAAGTATACAAAGAAAGGCCTTTTACGCAAATAACGCAAATATATAAAGTTATAATATTAATGAAAAAATTTGGAAATCTGTAAAAATTTCTTGCACGTGCTCTAAAAATACCTCATACATCCATTTGTATATGTAGATTATTCTTATTATATAAGAAGCTTTTCGATAAATATTTAAAACATATTAATAATTTATAAAAAATATGATCTAAAAATATTTTAATCAAGTAAAACGGTAATTATACATGCGGCACCTAAATTTTTGGTGTAATCTACTTATTAAGAAAATATTTGAATAAGATATTATAAATAAGTAGATAAGAAGCGCATATATATATGAGAATATATAATTAACTAGAATTAGAATATTACAAAATACGCGCCATTGAAAAATTAAACAAATGAGAATACGATTGCTCGATAAATAAAAGGAAGAACCAACTCGAAATGTTTTGCATTTTACTATTTGTCTGTGTATTCTATGATTCCTCGATATAGGTATATACAAATCGGATAGGCGCAATGTGTGTATGTGAATGCTCCCAATTAAATGCTGGAAAAATATAACTTTTATTCACTTTGTGTCTTTCTTTTCTCTCTCTTTCTCTGTCTTTCGTTACTTTGTCTTAAGACACATTCCATAATTCTCACACATTTTTCCATAGATATCACAACCAAAAAGCGTACCCTCACGAGAAATGTTCCGTTCGTCGAGCGAGACAAGTGCAAAAAATATATATTTATGTATATATATAATATATCTCTTGCATTGCACAAATATATAGAAATATTTCGATTATATATATATCATAATTTCAAGAATATAAACGCATAATCGTAATTACTCGATTCACGTGAGCAGAATATTTCTCATCAATTTTATATCTTTCCCATTGAGTTTGAACGCATACGTTTTATTTGTCATATTTTCCCGGTTTGCGTTAATACGCTCACATAATGATAAGATTTAAGTCAATCGAAACATACGCATTTTGCACGAAATATATATGTATATTCTGCACAAACACACACGCACAAACACACACATACAGTGAATTTAATATTAATTTGTCACATGTGTTATGATTGCAACAATCGATGAATAAAATAAATTATATATGTGTAACTTTATATATATATTCGACATTGTCGTGTCGCGCTTTTGTTTATCTATCTCTTTTCCTTATCTTATCTCTATGTTGCAGTCGATATTTCGAATGCGATCAGTCCTCGTATGTGCCGTGCAATGATAAATTATAATTACATCGAATCACGCGACTAAAATAGGCCATCGTAATCGCGCCATATCGTCGTTATATTTCGATGGAAGAATCGGAAATATATATTTTCAAAATGCAACATATAAACTCTGTGTCCCTGATACGAGGACATACATCATTATTAATTAAATTTATGGAAAGTGTACAACACGCTATGGATTTGTAATCGAAGTATGCTGTATTATTGGTGCATATAGGTCATTTTTAAAAATAAAAAAAAATTCAAATCTGAGAATCTCTTTTTACAAAACAAATACGGTGTGTTTCATAGTGTTTTTCTTGCCTAACTATTTTTGAAATGGATAGCTCGTGTGTAATTCGTTTTGGACGCTGATTAATTCTTCGAAAATATCCTTAAAATCTGATCGCTGGATCTCCATCGCTGCAGAGACTGTCCCGATGGACTGTGTTAACGCAACATTGCACATATACATTTAGTAAGGAGAGAACATTACTCGTGTATTAATATACATATGTACAATGACAATATAATACTTTTCCGATTTTATAGTCGACTCGTGTCTCGCTTCTAATTTTTTCGTCCCTATACTTTGTTGATTTTTGTTTGAAAATCTTCTTGAAAATACTAGACATATGAGAAAAAATATTCTCCTCCATCTCTCCCCGTTCGAGCTTTCAGCAGAGCATTTGACATCCGACATATCAAATATGTATTGAAGCATGATATTCGAAATACACATATTCGGCTTCATATTTCGCCACGATAAACTATATACTCGTTCTCGCGAATGCCATGTAGCGATGTAATGATTTTGGGAATAGTATTTAGAAAAATAGTATTAATTTCTTTGTGCGTCCTTGTCAGTGTGATTCATTAGCCACTTTTCATTTTCCTTTTCGCACGATTGTTAAGTTCTCCGTTCTAATTAGCCAGTTAAACTAACGATTGCATCATTATACAAACAGTATCGACATTTAAAACTTCGCGAATTTATTACTTTTGGAAAATTTGGAAAGCATTATTTAAGCTGTTATCTTATAATGGCATTCCTCGGTGATAATTTAACTCACCACTGTCCGTAACATCTCCATCTACCTATCGCTTCAGCTCTTTGCAACACACGAAATCACGTACATATTTTCATTTGTAATACACAGACCACTGTTTAGAAAAATAATTTTATAAAAGTTTCGCAGAGAAAAGAACTTGGTTCTATCGTCTAAATTAAATTAGCTACTCAATTAGCTACTCGGATAATCGCTTAACCGCTAATTATCATTCAATTGAAATTTCTTAGTGATGCCACAAAGAGTCAAGCGACGATGAGAGAAAAGATTTACGCAGTCTTATCGATCGTGAAAGACTTAAATATATAGAATGGCCGTAAATACGATAGCTAAATTTTTGATATCCATAAATTATTGTATGAAATTTAGCCTTTCAAACATGATTCAGAGAAGAGAGATGATACTTTTTGGCACGGGGTATATACAGTTGACACAAGCAATTTGATTTATGTGACAATTAGGTCGTTGCTTGCAGTTTTATAATTCAAGCTTGCTCGATGTATTTCACAAATAAATTCATTTTTTTCTTCCTTTTTACATAATTTTATACGACCATCACCACAATAAATTTTCAGCAAATTTTGAAAGTATAAGTGCGTAACCCGAAAAATTCATCTACATAGTAATCTTCCTCTTTCTTTTTTTTTTGTATGTGTATATACGCGTGTGTGTATTTATGAGAATATATTGATATCCAGTATATAAAATATCAATGGCTATTCAAACAGGATAGATACTTCTTTCCCTCTCTCCCTCTCTGCCCCTTTCTACACTTAAAAGTTATAAGTAATTTAGCATTTTAGTTTGCAACATTCAAGTGTAATGTTCAGGTATAGTACTCTTATCACAATATTGTCATAAATTTTAAATGATATCACTCTCTCTCTCTCTCTCTCTCATTCGCTCTGTTTCTTTCTAAAATTATTTATACAATTTTACATGTTAACAGATAATTCTTAAAATCATTTAGAATGTTGTCATAACATATATTCTATAACAACAATAGTAATCTGTTTGCTCACACATCAAGTCATTCTCGTATGAATATAATCTTTTTTTTATATATATTTAATATATTTCTGTCGCGCGCGCGCGCCCATTTTTCTTCAGATAAAATATATAAGCTAGGACATTCCGAGAAAAATGTGAAATTCTGAATAGCTTTCTAATATTTCTAATAACACTTTTGCGCAACGTTAGCCTTATAGAGTTTAGCATCTAATAGCAATAGAGGATATTGATAACGTGTATTCTGACACAGTAATATCTATAAGGTATGCACAATACATAAAATCATTCATAGATCACTTTCAATGCATGATCAAGAGATTATTCTTCCTACATAGCATGAGAAATGAACAGCTGGATTATTCACAAACGATGGTTTTGATGTATGTTGATCTCTTCTCGATCTAGTACTATGTTCAATTATTCGAACAATTTACATGATGATAACTGCCTAAGAGAGCTGTTTACAAAATAACGTCTGATATAACAAGATACATACAAAATTCAGTCGTAGAAGAAATTATACAAAAATATCGTTCCCGTTTTTCTTTTTGCCATCATGCTTGTTCATGAAACGAAAGTTGAAATTATGAGATCTATTGCTAACTATAATTATGCTAGCTAACATGTTATCATAGCAATCCTGTGTTTTAATTATAATGTAACTGTAAAAACGTAGTCAAAGATATATGAAGGCAGTATGTTAGAGCATTCTCTGTCATGCTTGCAAATAAACTTCAAATCAATTTCAGTAAATTATGTTTCAGTCATAATGTATAAAGAAAAATTTACAAATATATATTTTTCGCTTTAGAAAAGGTTTGAGAGCTTCTAAAAGTTTAACAAGAAATCAATATTTCTTTATAACATTATTCATAGTGTTATCCATATGTACACTTATGTTGCAAAAATATCGATATTTTACCAGCTCTCCCTTTGTTTCTCTCTCTTCCTTGCATTTTATCAAATAAATCTTTTCGTGGTCATCATTCAATTTTCATAGACATGAAATATATAACAGCATTAATTAATTAACAAATCTGTGAATTATCTGTGAGTTATCGCAAGATATATCACGTAGCTTTTGTTTCTCAAAATTTTTAACATTTTTATATACATATCTTTGTGTAAATGTACATTGCACACATCAATGTACATTGGGATAAATCAAAATTCTATTTAAATTATACATTTTCATTATCACATTGTGGTATGATTCATACTGTGCCATCATTTGTGATATTATTTATACCATTCCATGAAACTTATATTACTGATGTATTATTCAATAACAAGAGAACGTGTTAAGAATGGGCTAATTGTTACAAGATTTTCGACGCTCTCTGTCTTTGAAACAGAAAATAATCTATTATAGCGACTAATTATGTAGAAAAATACAAGGTATTATATTATAAGCGATACATCAGCAATATAAGCTTACCGTTTTCGGAGATTGTCCTGCATTATGAATATTACCGTGGAATATATATATGGAAATACTTTCTGCATTTTGCCTTTCAACCATTCATATGCAAAGATTAAGACCGACGTTTAAGTAACAGCGAGACGATAATGCGTACAGAATTGTTTCTTCTTAATATAGAAATAGTACGATTGTACAAATATTCTTTATAAGATTACTCAACAAAAGAAACATAAATGGTCTAAGTACCATTCTTAACCATTACACAACTTTATGATACAGATCTACTGTATACATAGTCCTATAATTATACAAATAAAATAATATGCTATTATGGACATATAAAGGTACCTAAGAAAATTAATATGTGGACAAGAATTGTCTTGTTAATAATGATAATTATGACTTATGCCACTCTTATAAATGCAAGATAGTGGACTGAAGAGAAATGAAAAACGTACAAAAAATCTTCGTCCTATATGTAGCGCTCTCACGCGATCTGGAAGTCATGACTAACTATAAAAATCATAATTAATCGAACAAACTAGTCCAATTACTATTATGTACAAGGAGAAAGGAACGATTTTTGGTCAGATGGTCGCGATTAGCAAGTCATCTAAAACACACCTGATTTGTCGAAAGCGACAAACGTCCTTTGGACCAAGCACGATTCTCACTCTATGTCCTTTTGTAAGGAACAATATCATTAGCATTGCATATAATCCTCCTCAATTATCCTTACGAGCCTTTTTTTTACTCTTTTTCTGAGGCTTTGCTTCTGTCCAGACGTCTAGAATATAATTATACAAAAAAGATATATTAAACAACTCGAAAATATATAGCTTGTCGTAATTTCGTTGTTAATACAACAAACCTCCCAATTCGTCGAACACAGCGGCTTTCTCTTTACTTTCTACAACTTTATTCTCTTCATTATTTGTGGCTACTTCTTCCATGTCAGCTGGTTTTTCTTCCGGTTCTTCTACAACAGGCTTATTATCTGACTTTGGTGTGGATGGTACCGAAACGGGTGTATTTTCACTCTCGACAGCCTTCTTAATCTTCTTTGATTTTCTCTTTTCTTCCTTCTCGACTTTCTCGACCTGTGTATTTATAAATAATTAGTTAACTAAAAAAATTTGCTGCAATGTTATGTAAATGCAAATGTACCTTGTTCTGTTCTTCTTTATCTATTTCTTTGGTTTTACCTATCTCTTCATCAGAGATAGGTGTAAGAATCACCTCTTTCTTCTCCTTCTCCTTGAGTTCCTTATTTTCTGTTTCTTTAGCAGTCTTATCTTTGATTTCAGGCTTTTCCTGTTCTTTTTGCTTGGCCTCATTTATTAAATCAGCCTTCTTAGAAATTTTCTTATTTTTCTTTGAAGGAGATTCCTCCTCCTTCTTCTTATTTTTTTTGTCCTTACGGGAATAAGCTTGCTCCCAGTCTCCTATTATTAATTATAATATTGATATCAATAGATAATAACACAAAACAGTTGTATGCAAGAAATTTTATCTATCTTTACGCTAATACATATGAATCAACCAACCATCGTCAAAGTCCACAGGCTTTTCCTGGAATAAGTTCTTCAAATTCTTCTTGTTCTTCACCTGTTCCACTTTGTTCTCTTTGCCAATCTTAGCTGAGGGATTCTCCTTCTCTTTCTTAGTTGTGGTGATCTTGTTGTCTTCTTGTTTACGCTCTTTTAGCTTACCATCAACATCATCTCCTTTCGTAGCTTTCTTTGGAGCTTCCGCCTTTACAGCTAATGTCTTTTTAGCTGGGCTTGTTTTTTCAGATGTAATTTGTCCATTAGCAGCTTTCTACAAGAAAAGATAAGAAAAATTTTTATATATAATAATATTATATAACTATATACTATATCTATTATTAAAATATAAAATACAGCTTTTTCTCTCTAAATAATAAATATTAAATAAAGTTTTTAAATAGTGTGCTTTTGTTACTTGCGTAAAATTAGGTCAGACTAAGATCTTTTAAAACTCTCATTAATGCATATATTCCTTTGTTTTATGCACATTTAGCAAATTACATGGCTTAATTTCAAGCTTTATCTGCTTAATATAAAAGTCTTATTCTCAATATCATAAAATTATATTTACACAATAAGTCTGTTCTTATAAAAGACAATAAATTTTTTTTCTCTACACTTTTTATACTTGAAGCGAAACAATATGTAAACGAAATGACGTCGAAAACTGCAACTTGAAAAAGGAACAAAGGCGATGAGCAAGCGTAAAAAGCGCCGATAGAAAAAACAAAACTATTTAGCCTAACATGTGACATAAGAATGCGGGAACATGACGAGAATGCCATCGTTGACGGAGAAAAACAAACCCTCAGTGTCGTAACGTTACGTCATAGTACGCGAGAAGAGAAAGAAGAAAAACAGCCACCTGGCAAGCCACCCTCTCGGATTAGAGGAACCAGCTGATTAGCCGACGTGTGTGCGTGTGTATCGACTTGCATCCACAAACGAGCAACCATATGGCAGACGATCGCGACATAGATATCTACGGAGAAAAGGGCGCAGAACGCAAAAAAGAGGGGGGGAGAGAGAGGGAGAGAGAGAGAGAAAGCTCGCGTCGCAAAAAAACGACGTCATTTCGCTAACCTTCTCGCGGACCTTGCCACGCTTCTTGGCGAATTTTCGGTCCACGTCAGAGCCCGCGGACAGCTGCGCGAACGGCGGCTGTTCGGCCTTCTTGAAGCCGAAGGCGAACACGAGAATGGCGAAAACCAGCACGACACCCACGGGGACCGCGTATACGTATTGCGAGTGCTGCAACAGCAGACCGACGTGGTCCATGGCGGCGGCCAACGTGCCTGCGATGTGACGGCCGAACTCTATTGTACCCGGAACACGGGGACGATATCGCGGACGTTGACGGTGATGATAGCGACGACGATGACGAGTACGTGGACGAAGCAGACGCGGCGCGACGCGCAGACGAATCGGCCAGCGACGCGGCAAGCACTCTATCGGACGCGCGGAGAACTGACGTCTGACGTCTGCCAGTTGAGCGCTCACCGACCGCTGACGCGGCTGTGACGCGTATCGCGGCGGACTTCAGAGCAATGCTGGCAGCTATCTCGGCGGACTACAGAGTGCGCTGGCAGCAACTTCGCGCCAACTTCACGACGTTGTTTTGCAATTAACCTCAAACTGCGATTCCGCAAAATTTGTTGCAATATATGTAAAAATACGAGAATTTAAATAATATTATATATTTCGATTTTTTACTAATAAACTCATGCTTGAATACCTGAAACTAAATATCATATGTTTTTTTCTCGAATGTTAAAAAATGAACTTATCTGTTAAAAAATTATCTTCGAATGAAAAGATAAATGACAATCTTTATAGATATAAATTAGATGTCAAATAGAAATCTTGGATTGCGAGTTTTAAAAATCGAGAACTCTTACAATTAAATTCTACCGCAGTTTATACACATATAATTTGACAATTTTGAGACAATTTTGTGTGGTTATGTTTACAGTATGGAAATAGCAAAATAATACAATGATGCCGAAATTGTTCGTCAGTTGAGTTTTACATAACTACGCATGGTCGAGCGTGATTGATTATCGACGGTCATGTGAAAACTTGACGCGACCTCATTCATACTCTTTTAAGTCACGAAACAAACTCAATTATCGCAATATTATTCAGCGATCGCATGTTCATTTCCAATTTGATTTGCTGTCGTTAATCAATCAGTGATTTTTCACAATGTTGGAGGGAGTGAAGCACGTGCTGTTAGTGCTTTCGGGAAAAGGAGGCGTCGGTAAATCAACAATAAGCACTCAGCTGGCACTTGCTTTGAAGGAATCAGGTTTTCGAGTGAGTTTTCTCGAAGCTATTTCGTGACAATACAGATGAAATAATGATGTTTTTTACATAATATTTAAATAATTGTATAATTCTTCTTTTTATATTATTATCGAAGCAATAAAGAACATATATTTTAACAAACTAATTTTTCCATTTTTATCGAATTAAATATTTCTATAATTTTTACAATCTAATTTCTTTATAGAAATTAATTAAATAAAGCTAAATACAAAGCATAATTTTTGGCAGGTTGGGATCTTGGATGTCGATCTCTGTGGCCCCAGTGTGCCTTATTTGCTGAACTTGGAAGAGAAAGATGTTCACCAGTCCTCTGAAGGGTACATCCTACTCCTTGTATAATAATTTATCAATAATTATGTGCTATCAATTAAAGGAGTAAATTGATGTTATAGATGGATACCAGTATTCGCAGATGCAGAACAGAAACTGTCAGTCATGTCAATTGGCTTTCTCTTGAAAAATCAAAATGATAGTGTTATCTGGCGTGGTCCTAAAAAGACTGGTATGATCAAGCAGTTTCTAAACGATGTAGTTTGGCGGGATATTGATTATTTGATCATTGACACACCACCTGGCACTTCTGATGAACACATTACAGTCATGGAAAATCTAAGGTTAATAAGCAGATAGTTTTAAAACTGCTAATTGATTGCAAGATAGTGTCAATATTTGTCAATTACTGCTACTTAATTACAACAAAATATTAAAATTATTGCAGAAATGTAAATTGCGATGGTGCCATTATAGTAACTACTCCACAAGCAGTTGCAGTAGATGATGTTCTGCGAGAAGTAACATTTTGTAGAAAAACAGGAATTCATATAATTGGCATTATTGAAAATATGAGTGGCTTTGTTTGTCCTTCATGTACGGTAAATATCTTTTCACACATTAAGTGCAATCAAAAATTTAACTATTCACCATGTAAATTTAATAAATTTTATTTTTCACAGGAATGTACCAATATATTCTCTTCTGGTGGTGGAATAGCTCTTTCAGAGATGGTGAAGGTTCCATTTTTAGCAAAGGTACCTATAGACCCACAAGTTGGCAAGTTAGCCGATAAGGGACAAAGCGTCCTGGTAACATTACCCGATAGTCAAGTTGCACAGGTGTTTCGAAAATTAGTCGAAGAACTCACCAAAAGTAAGGAAGCTTAAAAACAAAAAGTTTGCTAGCAATGTGTGATTTTTAGCATCATATGTATGATATTTGCTTGTGATGTTATTGTTATTTTTATAATGGACAAACTGATCTACAGGAAACTGTATATACAAATATCTAAAATATATCTGTTTTTAAATTATAATGTATAACTGCAAAAAAACAAAAAATAAATAATGGTATTATTTTATCTTAGAGCTTGTATCTAAAGTTCTTATATATATATATCATAAAGAAAGGAAAGGAGAGAATTACCAAATGATTTCCTGATTTGAAAACATACATCAAGTATCCCGTTTTATTTTTGCCTTCAATGATATAACGCAAATTTTATTTGCATTAGAATAAATTCTGGGCTGACATTAGAAAGACAGCAGTAACAATAGTGTCACGACAGTACTTTCTACATGATGTATCCAAAGTTCTTATGTATATTGAGCATATAGAACTATATAGAGAATATTCATTTGTTTCCCCAACCCCAGAGACCCTTGACAAAACCGGTGAGACCAGCCTGTCCTTTCTTAGCTTGATCGCCCATTTTGTGTTCCAGTTCCGGAAGCTCGACCATGAAAAAGGCTAGATCGAAGAACAGAGGCTTGCAAGGAATGCTACGCATCGGCGGTGGCAGTTTGTAGACATTCGGTTGCTTCGTGAGAAGCGCAGGGTCCTCCCTATATTCGTGCAAACGTTCGTACAGCGGTTTCTTGCTTTTAGCAAGTTTATTGATTCCACCTTCCTCTTCTTGACCATCCTCCAGAACGCTGTGAGCATGAGCGGAGTATTGCGCAGCCTCCACGGAAGTTTCCAGCTTGCACAAGGCTTCCTTCAGTATGACTGGAAGAATGTTGTCATATTTAAGTGCATCTTTAACATGCTGCAGTGATCTCTGATACATAGCCATAGCTTCACGCCAACGATGTTGATTGGCGAGACTTTGGGCTACATAGAAACATCTAAAAGCCCTGTAGCCTTTCGTTTTCGCCTCCTGTTCCTCCACGAATTCTGTATCGTCTTGCAGCTGAGATATCTCTACAACATTGTATAACGCCGCTTCGTACAGACGCACTATGTCCTGCGGCTTGGCCTTCTCCGATTCCTCAGCCGCTTTTACCAACGTCAAATTACGCTCCAACGTGCGAGACAATCGAATATATTGCAAATAGTTTATCAAATGCTGCGGCGCTGACCACTTGTCGTTTTCCTTGTTTTTCAACTCGGTCTTGAAATGATCGCGCACCACTGAAAGAGCGTCCTTGCAGTCTATCAGATGTGCCTCCAACAAATCGATCTTCCCTTTATTTGTGGCGGCCTTTTCCAGAGCTTGATTTAATCTGGAATCCGCGATAATCAAACCAGCCGCTCTCGGTGGCACCGTACCGCAAGATTTTCCGCGCCACGTTACTTCCTCGGTATTGGTTTGTCTCTCACGCGTCTGAGCTATCAGAGAATCTAGACTGGCCATTAGTTCGCCGCTCAATTGCCCGCGCATCTGCATGAGATCGTCCATGGCGCTGGTGTCTCCAATGTTATACGCGCAATATCTGAGACTGGGCGCCAATTCCTCGACACGCGCCTTGTACACGACTTGTTCCAATTCCGGCAGCGCGGACGCCAGGTTACCATAAACCACCTGCGCTTTCTGCAAATTCTCCATAGCTTGTTTCCACAGTTGTAATTCAAACTGAAGGGAACCGTTCATCCAGGCCACATATGCTTGAGCCTCCAGCTTTGTACGCGCATCGCAATTTATATTCTAAAAACAAAATAAAATGATAATTTCAGTAATTTCATATAACTAGCAATTAATAAAGTATGTAAAAAACGAGAGAAATTAAGACGTATGTGAAAGATTAATAAGCAAATTATAAGTTTATTTTTAATACAAAAATTAGGGATAAGATATACCTCTATCAAGTCTTGCAATTGTATGGAATATGCAGCTGCCTTCTTCAGTCTCGATACCAGATGAAACTTTTTTCTTGGCTCTGTATTGGATTCCTGGCGTAGTTGCATTGCGTAACTCCAAGCGCGTTCAGCCATTACCAAAGGCACTTGTAAGAATTTGTCCTCACTGATCATGACTGGAGTGATATCTTTCCTCTTGAAATGACGTCTATCACCTTGTGGCACTTTCAATACTTTTCGCAATCTTCTGAGTCTTCTTGAGCAGTAACCGCGATACCGCTGGTAATCACCGTGTCTCAACCCATGCTGCTGCTGCGCTTCCTTGATTATTTTCAAAACTATAAATTTGTTAAGTACACTGACATAACGTGACCAGAGATTAAAATTACAATAACAATGAAATGTAAATAATACCAAAGTTATAAAATCTTTTTCCCATTTGTTAGTCAATTTTATGTTATATTTTTAACTGCCTACAAGCACGTACACATTATTAATTCAAAATTAATTTAACAGATTGTTAGTAATATGTTAATAGTAAAAGAAGTTGGAAAATGACATATGGCACTAATAGTTTTGTCAAAGCTCGCGAGGATAATAATTTCACGAAAGGATACTTTCTAAGGAATACGTTTTCGGCTCTTTCACCCCATCCTGTGTCTGATTTTCCTTCGAAGAATCCATTCTTTCTTCGACTACCATCGTGCTCGTTATTAATGTATTCAATATTCATCAACCTTCCTAAAAAAACATGTCCTCATCCTCATGTCTTGTCAAGTACTTGAAGTGAAGTTGCTCCAGTTTATGTATCGATATCAAATCGATATCGAGAATCGATAAATCGAAATGTAACATCGATATTTTATTGTGAAAGAAACCGTTTCTCTCCGATCGCAAGACAGTTTACAAATGGTGGCCTTATTTACACGTGATTCAAATCAGACTAATTGTATGCATTTTATCCTCCTCGACTTTTGGCGGTTAAAATTCCACGACATTGGTTGAGATTAATGTTGTCAAATATATATTGAATATAGAATAATAATTGGTAATTTCGAGTCATTGACGGATACAATTAGTACATCGTTCTCCTACATTATTATGGAAACCGATAGCGGGATGAGAATCCAGGAAACATTAGTTTCCATCAATGACGTTACTTTAAAGATGTAAAATATTTATAATTATTTTAAATGCCTGTTTTTTCTTTTTTTACCAATAACGGATAATTGAATTGAAGCAACTGTGAATTCTTTCAGTAAAAAGGAGCTGGAAATCATCGAGAGACTTGTGAAAGAAAACGGACATTTGCACACGGTAGTTGACACAGCAAATCACATTTTATCTAAGAAGGTTCAAGAAATGGGAATGAATGTGGCAAATATTATTAATGAGAGCAAACACAAAAACAGGTTAGAAGCGAATTTGCTGGGCTCAATCACATCCACAATAGTTGCAGAACAATTGGAGCAAATGAATAACTGAGACATATATAATAGCATTGTTGTTTTATGTATTATATATTTTTAATTTTTACGCCTTTAACCTTTTTTTTAATAATTCAGAGGGTATAATATATAT